ATGTATGCATGGGTTGATGTTCTCAGGATCAAATCAGAGCAAGTAGAAAAAAGACCCGACAAATCCGAGACCTTTTTCTACAGGGAAAGAGGAGAGAAGCTCCAGAAAAACATGAACAAGGGCAAAAAAGGGGCAAGCACAGAAGTCACCCTGATGGTTATGTGTATTTCCTCTCAATGCTGCTGGAAATGACTTCATATTCATTGCTTTAAAGGACTACATTTTGTCCTTTATTCCTGCAGGACTCATGCTGTAGATTGTGGGGAATTATTTACATCTCAATTTATTTCTCAGCCCATTGGCCATAATTAAAAATGGAATTTGGCACTCCTCAGAGCCCCTGCTGGAGACTTTCACCTTGTAGAAGACGGGATTAAATGTGATGATTTATTGGGCTCGTGTACAGTCCCCTGACTGTACTGTGGCACTGAGCCGAAAGCAAGCTGAAATGATACCCAGTCCTCTTTGGCAACTACTCACGAGCAGAATAAATCCTATCCCTTGACTAAAGCCCAGTCTTGTTCCATCCACATTTGCCCAAGTTCCTGATGTGTGGGAGCTCTTGGTTGCACAAACTTAAGGTTAGAGAAGGCAGTGGCTGCGTGCCAAGGTAGTGTGCCTTTAGGATGTTGGGATCCGTGCCTGTGTTTTTGTTGTCATGACATGCCTTCGGCTGTGCCTATGAAAAGCACAGAACATGATTTCTTACAGTCATCACTCTCCATCTTTGAGAGGGAAGTGGAAATGATGTTCAGAATCACAACTCTAAAGTTTGATGATTGCTCTGTGATTACTTTTCAGATTCTTAGGACTTTTTGGTACTAAAGCCAAACAGAAATGCACTCATAAATCTGGCAGAGGCTTTGCTTGCTTGCTTGTTTCTTCCCTGCTAAGCCAGAAAACAAACAGGAAGAAATATGTGGCCATGCACAGATTCTGCCACAGCATTTAGAAAATGTATGTGTATATGAGGTGGTTGTCATGGAAGAGGAGATGGCAAGTCTGTTTTTTGTTAGGGTGAGCTTTCAGGACCATGGTGTCTTTTGAAACATCTCTAAGTGCCTTATTGCTTTCTTCGATGCTCTTAAGGGTGTGCTGTTTTTGGACTCTGGGTTGTCTATGCTAGATCCTAGTGAGGAATCATCCTGTAATACCCTTGATAAAAACCCAGCTTGTTCATACCAAAACACCTTTTTCTTCAGTTCAGAGTGATGTCATGCAATGTGCCCCACAGGAAAAGATAAAAGATCCTGATGAAAGGATACAGCTGGATAGGGCTGTTTCCATTGCAGGAAGGGATACTGGCAGAAGGGTAATTTACAGGGACTGAAGAGTATTGATTTCTGTAAAACCTGATTGCAAAAGTTTCTTATGTCTAGAATGAAATCTGGTCTTAAAGAAGGGAAGGGAAAGAAAATAACCACCCTAGAGAAACTGCTTGTAAGAACAAGCAGACTACGTAAGACAGCTAAAGGCTTGTGGGAAACCCAGCTTCAGATCCCCAGTTCTAATTCAGGCACAGTGAAAACTTGCAGTAATTTAGTAACATCCCGTCTGTATAGACTGGATATTCACTGCTGTTACTCACTGAACCCTTGTTACATGGTTGTTTCTGTTGCTGATGTGAACTCTTTGCATATTACACTTGTTTAATGTCCTCTGAAAGTTCTTTTCATTAATGAAGCTGTGCTGTCCATGTCCTGTGATTTGCCAGGGATGCTTTTTTGTGACAAAGGGGTGTCTTTAGCCTTCAATACTTCCTTAGCATTGCAGCATCGTGTAAAAGCTGCTTGTGGAAATTATTTTCCTTGACAAAGCCACTTTGTTAGGGCCATGTGACTGATACAAAAAGCAATAGTTTCCTTGACTTGAAGGAATTTTCAGTCTAGCTTAAACCTGATTGTCATTGTATCTTTTGACTTCCTTTTAGAAATCAGGAATATTTAAAAGTAATCCATGGGCTGTGTTGCCAGTATATGATTCAGCCACCGGAAGCGGTATGTTTGGGTGGACTCTAAGAAACTGAGTGTATTTCCAACCTAAAATGGTACTTCTCCAGATTGCATTTGGTCAAATATTCATTATTCTTTTTACGCGCTCACATCCAAGTCAGTCTGTGGTGTACCTGTGAGACAGAACTGTCTTGTTTCTTACTGAGGACAAATCCCACAGACTGTCGCCTTTGTGTTTGTAGGGTTGTGAGCAGAAGGGACTGAACATGTGGCAAAATTAATAACTGGGTAGCATTCATACTTTAATCCTTAATTAAAGACAAGTGGGTATGTGAAATACATTTCCCCAGGGCTGTGGTGAGAGAATATCCACACATGTAATTAATCTAGCTGCTGGAAGTCACAATTTCACCACTAAAATCAAGCAGAAAGAGACACCAGCAAACAATATGGGCACACTCCAGCATTCATTGAAGTCAATGGGAAACTTGTCTTTTGACTTCAAAGAGCATTGGACTGAACCCTGCAAGATCATATTAAAACACTTAAAAGTCATTAAACACTTATTCACACCATACTGTAGTAATACAAGTATAAAAAAAAGGTGGATTTTAATTTAACCCACTCCATACGTTTTTAATTGTTCCATGTTTCTGCAGTTGGTTGCATATGTTTGGATTAGGTGGTGATTTTCCTGATGACTTGTGTTTGACTGTTGCTGCATAGGGTGCTCTTTTATAGCTTTGTTTTTCTGTATGTATATTCATCTTGTATATTGATACAATCCTTTCTTGAGTTAATACATGTGATTTTCTGTGAGAGCAAAGCTAGCAGCTTCTGTGAGTTGTAGTAGAATCAGAATCCTACGAAGGTTTTGGTTGGAAGGGACCTTAAAGTTCATTCAGCTCCAATCCCCTGCCATGGGCAGGGACACCTTCCACTAGAGCAGGATGCTCCAAGCCCCGTCCAACCTGGCCTTGAACACTGCCAGGGATGGGGCAGCCACAGCTTCTCTGGACACCCTGTGCCAGTGCCTCAGCACCCTCACAGGGAAGATCTTCTGCCTAATGTCTAGTCTCAGTCTCCCCTCTGTCAGTTTAAAGCCATTCCCCTTGACCTGTCACTGCATGCCCTTGTAAAAAGTCCTTCTCCAATTTCTTGCTGGCCTCTTTAGGTATTGGAAGACTGTTATAAGGTCTCCCCAGAGCCTTCTCTTCTCGAGGCTGAACAAGTCCAGCTCTCTCCGCCTGTCTCCATAGCAGAGGTGCTCCAGACCTCTGATCATTGCCGTGGCCTCCTTTGGACTAGCTCCAACAGCTCCACGTTCCTCTTGTGTTGTTGCTCCAGGGCTGGATGCATGACTGCACGGGTGTCTCACCAGAGCAGAGTAGAGGGGAAGAATCGTCTCCTTTGACCTGCTGGCTGAGGCTTGTTGTTTAGCTGAATCTCTGTTATTTAGTAATCTCTGTAAGGTGCAACTCCTACTCTAAGGGTAGGGACTGTGGAAAGGGCTGAAGTCATTGGTGAGGTTTCTGCCAAGGGGATTAGCAGTGCCCCAGTGTATGTGTGGTCCTTTGTATGGGGTGGGAAAGAGGTCACAGAGCTGCTGCCACCACTGCTGATATGTCTGGTGTTGATTGGTGTCGTTACCAAGAACATGCAAACCACTCCAAGCAATGCATGGTCTAAACTTCAGATAATTCTGGGCTGCTGCTGGGCACAGGACATGGGCAAACATTGGTAATGGAACTGAATTCAGGGACTGGCTGGGGGCTTCAAGATGCGGGAGGGTAAATGTTATTTAACCTGGTCTCTGCTGTTGTTCACCCAGCTAACCTGTGATTAGCCACTAATCTTTGCCTGACTTCAGAGATCTGTAGCCAATCAACATATTAGAGAGAGCAAATATTTGCCTTCAAAGAGATGAAATAGGGTGGTCAAAAAGCAAGTGAGTGCCCAGCTTTCCCACATCTGGAAGATGCAATTTAAATTGCATTGCATATCAATTACATGTCGTGGTTGGCAGACTGTGTTCAGAGAAGCTTGCTAACTGATGCAAGGCGAAGTTGAGAGTTTGCCCATTTGAAGATTTGTTGTGCTTATGTATGGTATTTATTTATTCCCTCAATGTCATCTGCGCTGAATTCACGCTAAGCTTTAAAGTAGCTAAAATTTGAGAGGCACGCTTGCCTGTGTAATGGTAGAGCATGTGCTCATAAACTGGACTTGGGAAGTCAGGACTGAACAGACCACAATAAGCATTTTATCCTCACACAGCAAACTGGATTTAGGTGTCACATGTGTGGCAAATGGTATGGGTTTTGTGGCTTGGGCTCCACCAACAAGAGAAGGCAATCCTTTCATCCCATCAGATGCATAATGTAGCACCATTTAATACATCTGGTATGAATCCTAGAATATAGCAAATAGAGAAACTGAAAAACTTTCTTCCTTTATATACTGAAAGTGTAAATGTGCTGAGGGTGCGGGAGCTCTGAGTTTTGCTTTAGAAGTGTGCTGGAAGATGGCTTTTCTTGCCCCTGCATGTCTGTAAACATGTGTTATAGCCACATTTGTACCTTTACCCATCCATTCATTTCATTGATATTAGAAACCAACAAGGCAAGAAGCAGTCTTCTTTTAATAAGTGGAGTGCACTGGAGGCGACCTCAATCAAAATAGGTTTTAGAAACCCCAGAGATGAAAATGATTTGCTCTTTGCTTCCATATTGTGGAGGACTAATGGAAACAATTATGACCTTACTTTATTTTTTAAGGAAATGTCTTGGGTTTATTGAAACTGAATTTATAGGTGTGCCAAACATGCCACTGCTTCTGTGGAACCAAGAGCAGGTCTTCTTCTGACTTGTTTTGGAATAATGTGCTTATTGCTGTTTGGCACATACAAAAATAAAGGAGTAGAGATGCCTGCTTCGTGTCTGCAGTGTTGAACAGAAAAAAATACTGTAATTACATGTTTAATAGTTGTGTATAAAAATCTGCTTGCCTACATGCATAGGTGAAATAGCTGTTTGTTTTCTCTTACAGAAAAGAGTCAAAGACGTTATATCTCCAATTGTATTTGAAGCTGCATACAGCCTTGGGGAACATGTAATAGAAAGAGGAAAAGAGGACAAGGAACTGCCTGCTCTCAAGCCCATACTCCGCTGGAAGAAAGGACAAAAGATAGCACAAAGGAACCAGGTTAGATTTGGATTGTGTAATTTCCCTGGAATGTCTGTAGCTGAACTGACATCAGAAGTGGACATGAAAGGGGACTGCCAAGCTCTGGGTTGTTTGCACACAGTAGTCTTTTTGTACAATTCTTACTGTGGGTGACACCAGTGTTTCTCCATGATACAGTAAAGACTTGTGCTGACAAAGTTGGACAGTACAAGGTGAGGTCACTTTCTTGTTTTGGGGTCTTTGTGCTGAGAAGATGGAGGGTGCTGAAGCGCTGGCACAGGTTAGAGAATCTGAGAATGCCCATCCCTGGCAGTGTTCAAGGCTGGGTTGGACAGGGCTTGGAGCAACCTGCTCTAGTGGAAGGTGTCCCTGCCCATGGCAGGGGGTTGGAACTGGATGAGCTTTAAGGTCCCTTCCAACCCAGTCCATTCTATGAATAAGGGAAAGAGTGACAATGGTCCTGTTCCTTCTGGTTCTTCTCTTCCTGTAGGAGGTTCTTGTGAAAGGCTTGTCCCTGGCCTTCTGTCCAGATTGGGCCATCAGTAGTGCTGGAGAGACAGGGCTGGCTCCAGAAGGGGATGTGGGAATTTGCCCATCTGTGTGAAGAGGAACAGTGGACAGAGTAAAGGAAAACTTGCCTGGCCCAACTGCCCTCTTTTCTTGAGGGTTCCTCACTTGCAGTCTTGTGGCAAGGGGAAACCCACTCCTGCAGTTAATGCAGGACATGCCCTGCTAAAATAGGATGGTATGTTTTGGAAAAAGTAAAGTGTAAGTGCAGCCATGTACTTATTAGGATCCCATTTTGTTCCACTGCACAGCAGAAAACACTTTTGTCTGTAGTTTTGGTGAGAGCAGGAGAGCTCCCTTAATGTTGAAACACTTCTCATTTAGAGAATAAAGATTCGTTTTGTTTGTCTTCTTCTTTCTTCCAAACTGTTCCCGAAGGAATTGAAGTGAATGTGGTTATCCTGCCTGTCTTGTTTGTCTGTCTTGGCCTCACTAGTATCTTTGGGAAATGCTGGCCAATTTTGTCAGGTTTTGACAGGAGTGATCAAGACAGTGCTTCTGAAGGTATTAAACACCTTCAGGGTTCATGAAGCAGGTGAGGAGAGAGACTCTGTTAGTGACCTTTCTAAAGACTCCACTTCCAGCACAGTCCTTGCAGCTGCAGGACAATTCAACCTCCCACAGTGCCGGCACTGGAGCATCCAACTGTGAAGCTTGAAGTTCCATGGGGAAATCAGATTTCTGTGGCTTGCAAACTTCTTGTGTGTCAGAATTGGAGGGTAATTTGGGGCTGGAAGGGACCTTCAGAGATCCAGTTCCTTGCTCAAAGTGGAGCCAATTTACAAGTTAGATTGTGTTGCTCAGGGTTGCATTCAGTCAAGTTTATGTTCCAAAGCATGCTTACAGTTATAAGCTGGCATTGCTTGTGAATAGAAAACTTAAAAAACGTTGTGAAAAGACTGTCTGGAGTCTGAGGCTTTTAGCACTGAATTGTTAGATCTGGTTTTTAACCCTGGGAAGTTCATGTCTGTTAAGTAATTGTTGCATGTTCATCTGTAACATTACTTTCTGATCCTGCTCTCTGTGTTGAAATTGCAGGCCCCTGAATACTAGTAAAAGAAAAAAAAAGTAACAAAAATGCTTAAAAGAGATTTCCTTTGCCATATTACACAAGTGTTTTGAACTGTGTTTGGTTATAATCCTTGTACTTAGAGAAATGAGTATTTATTCAAGTATGGTTTATTTTTTACAAATGTATGAATGGAAGATACATCTAAGACTTAATTTTACAAAGAGGAATTGTGTGGCTGTTAACATGTCTGAATGTTGTATTGTTGCAATGATATGATGGGAAATTGGGGAGAACTTTGGAATTTAGGCAGTGTGCTGAAAACAGAAGTGTTACATGAGCAAAACTGCTTGGATGCTTTGCCACCGTCTTTAAACTGAAAGGTCTCATCTTGCCCTGCAGACATAGTCTCAGATCAATATTTAAATACTTGAATGCTGACATTATACAGTAGAAACAAAGATACAGTGGGATTTTCCCTGACTAGGTTTCTTGTGTAATTTGGATGAGAGGGGGAGAGTTTAACAATCCCTTTCCATTTGCTTTCCAGATGTTGTTCACTTATTTTAGTCAGAAAAGGATTTTGACATGGGGTACGCCTGCAAGTGTGCTTTCACCTAAGGAAGTGGGAAGAGCTTTAGAGCTAGTGTAGCAGTCATGGTGACAAAGCCCTGATGGAGTAGCCTGAGGGCATGGTGGCAGGGTCCTCAAAGACCATTTTCATGGGAAAATCAGGCCATAGTAGTTTTGGTCAACAAGAAACTGAACAAGAACTGGCAGTGTGCATTTGCAGCCCAGAAACCAACCGTGTCCAGGGCTGCGTCAAAAGGAGCGTGACCAGCAGGTCGAAGGAGGTGATCCTGCCCCTCTACTCTGCTCTCGTGAGACCTCACCTGGAGTATTGTGTGCAGTTCTGGTGTCCTCAACATAAAAAGGACATGAAACTGTTGAAACAAGTGCAGAGGAGGGACACGAGGATGATCAGGGGACTGGAGCACCTCCTGTATGAAGACAGGCTGAGAAAGTTGGGGCTGTGCAGCCTGGAGAAGAGAAGGCTGCGTGGAGACCTCATAGCAGCCTTCCAGTATCTGAAGAGGGGGTACAGGGATCCTGGGGATGTACTATTCATCCGGGACTGTAGTGATAGGACAAGGGGTAATGGGTTCAAACTTAAACAGGGGAAGTTCAGGTTAGATAGAAGGAAGAAGTTCTTCCCTGTGAGAGTGGTGAGGCACTGGAATGGGTTGCCCAGAGAAGCAGTAAATGCTCTGTCCCTGGCAGTGTTCAAGGCCAGGCTGGACAGAGCCTTGGGTGACATGGTCTAGTGTGACCATGGCAGGGGGTCGGAACTGGATGATCTTAAGGTCCTTTCAAACCCCAACTATTCTATGAATCTTTCAGGATTCTTGTTATCTCATGAGTTGTAATTGTTTTAAAAGGCCAAGAGGGAAAGTAGGAAGCAAAGTTTATATAGTAAATGATATACATTTTCAAAGAATCTAATGATTACATAGGGACCTTGCATTTTGGAAGTCCAAGACAGTTTTAGTGGGCTCTTTTTTTCAGAAGATACAGCATGGATGAGGATACTATTAAGTAGAATAAAATCTTAGTGTTAGTGCTAGCACTCAAGTCTTTAAATATTGCTGTGTGTGATTTTTCCAAAGCCCTAGATCCTATTGATCCAGTCAGAAAGTGGTGTTTTGAAATCAGAAGTGTTGCATCTGTTGCTTTGAGGCAGCATTAAGATACTGTTAAAAGGCTTCTAAAAAGTTCAGGTGTCTGTTTTTTGTGAAGGACTGCAGGAGAATAAGCTGGAAGTAGAGAATAGCTGAAGAAATGGGAGGGAAGTCTGACTGGGCAGGAAAGGGGAGAAGTTCCATCTTTCAAGATCCTACTGCAGGTCTGCTAGACCCTCTTGAAAAGCCACACATCTTACAAACGTGTGCTTTAAAGTCACCTAGAAATGATTTTATTTAAGCTAAGGTGATGTTAAAGCTGAAGTGGTCACTTTCCCTGTGATTTCAGCTTGTTTTTCATGAGCCAGATGTTCCCTGCATGCACGTGTGACTTTCCAACAGAAGTGTGCTGCCCGCTGGCTTATACACAAGTAGGTGGGAAAGCCATCAATAGGCCTCTTGAAGGGAGAATTGAAGATTACGTTGAGCATATGAAGTTCTTCATAATGCTTTACCATAATGCAATAAGGAGACAGCTTCTAAATAGAGTTCGTGGACATCCACCACCAAAAGTGACAGGTCCCTAATGACATAATCACAGAAAAGGATTTTGTTGGATATTCATCCTGTAAATCAGCATTACATTGTATGTGAGAGAACAGCCCGATCAGGGACTAATCACTTGGACTACAGTAGTAAAAGGAGTGTGGGCATGTGGGATATCATTCAAACTGCTTTTATTTATTGGTCACCTTTATTTTAAAAGAATGCAGCCTTTACTGTAAGGCAGTGCAAAAATACTTGTATTTAAGACTAAACCAGACCAAAACCAAACCTTGACTCTTCAGTGAAGGAGCATGCTTCTGTTCCTAAATGAACTTTGCTTGAAACAATCAGAATGTGAGAAATAATTTGAACATCTGACTGCTTTGAACAAAAGGATCTTCACTGAAGTCTCCTAATGAAAAAGCATGCAATTCTGGGACTTCATCTGTTGGCCTCTTTTAGTAAGCAAAGAGGCTCTAGTACTTCAGAATGAAGTAATAATGTAATTAAACTGGCCTGAGGGACTATTTAAAAGAGGATACAGTAACATATAGCTTCTCATGGACTTAATTATTTTTTTTGGTTCTTGAATGTGCTTACAAGAAGTTATGGTTGCTATAGCTTGGTCTAATTTTTTGTGGTAGCACAAGCAAATACTTAAAGGTTATGTGTATGTGTCTACTGATGGATGCCTCAGAAACTTACACGATTGTTGGGTGGGGACTGGTTGTGTGGGGAAGATTACAGCTTTCCAAGTTGTGAGTGGTTAGCCAGCTCAGTTTTGCTCAAACAGAAAATCTCTGGTGGGTCGAGATTGGGTGGTGGGGGGGAAGGATTCTACTTTTTGAGTGTGTATTACAAACTCTAAAGCTTCCCACTCAGAGGATGACTTTCCATTAGGTTCTTTGTTGCCTCCCAAATCCAGTTGCTACCCCCATCCACTGGAAAAAACTAGTAAGTTTTCTTACTTCAGGGACATCAATGTATATTTAGAACTTGGTTTGGCATGGTTCATTGTGAGTGGTTTGTACTATAACATTTATTTTTGTATACACACTGTATAAATACATATCAACCAAGAAGGAGAGGGATCTCCTGCCAAATACAGTGGGGATTTGTTCCTAGTAGTATCGAGTAATGTATCTCGGAGCTTGAAATACGGTATGCCAGAATTCTGCCTATTCTAAATACTGTAATAAAATCACCTGCTGTTATGT